AAGCAGAGGCAGAAGGATTGTCAGTTCAATTCCACTCCAAACTCATAGTGAGTCCTGTGCAAAGAAAATCAAAGACTATAACTGCAGCTAAATGGTAGAACATCTGTTTAGTATTTGCAAGGCCCTGTATTAGACCTCTACAAGCAAAACAATAATTTAAAGAGAATTATGCAGATTGGAAGGTTCAAATAGTGATGGGAATGGAACAGTTGGCATGGACTTGAGAGTTATTTTGAAAAGGGAATGAAAATGCCTAAGTCACCAACTGAAGGATGGGACAAGACAAAGAATAGTTTCAAGTCTAAATAACTGAAACAATGACTGTACAAGGGAAAGAAATCCAGCCATGGAATCCCTTAGGATAGGTAGAGCTACCCACTTCAGTGAAATGAAGGGCTTAGTAAAATGGGGCGTCAAATTGAAAAGATGTGGCTGGTAACCTAAGTAAAATACCTGAAAGTCAGTTGTGATGAGTAATCATGAGAGTGTGATTTGTGGTGACCACAGACCTTTAGAGAACTGATTCACTGTTGTGTCTCTCTGAATTCTCCAGCTATGAACACACTACTGAAATAGAATTTATACTCAGCAAATGCAACCTGACTGAGAATAGGCTGGCAGTATAGATTTAGAGGCAGGCTCCACAAAACCAACACGTAAGTTATGAGAGTGGAAAAATGTTACCTTAGAGAGAAGGAAGAGTGAGGGAAGAGGGACTGACAGATTGTGAGGAGGGAGGGAGGGGGAGGGAGGGAGGGAGGGAGGGAGGGAGGGAGGGAGGGAAAAAGGGGAGGTGGGGGGAAGGAAAGAAGAGAGGAAAGAAGGAAGGATGGAGCAAGGGAAAGAGGGGATCAAGTCTTAAAGAATAAATATATTAGAAAATCTGGAGGGAAAAAGAAATGAATAAATGAGATAAGGATGGTAAGTCAGAGAAATAAATAGAAAAAAAGAGGCAGAGAAAAAAGACAAGGAGGGATGGGAAGGAAACAGGAAAGATAAAAGGAAAAAATTGTGAAGAAGAATAGAGTGATTCTCCAGGCAGGAAGAGATGTTACTCATATTTCTAACAGTTGTGTTATAGACTTTGAGAATATATGAACACAAAAATTATCAAGTCACATTTAGTGAGCAAAAATGGAAACCATTAAAATGTTTCCTTAATAACTTAAAGTAAATAAATGAATAGCTTCTGTCACATTGATTCATCTATTGCATGTGGGTGCTCAATAAATGTTAATTGAATTAAATTAATAACATTTGCTCAGCGGTAATAAAAAATTAATTAACTGTCTGTCTTACTGTTGCTAGTTTATGCCCACTGGTTCTTACAATTACTTCTAACCCAAACAGGAATTTTTCTATTACAGTGACTTTCAAGACATGCTTTAATTTTTTTTCTAAGAACTATAGAGAAACTCTTAATTTTTGTCCCAATTTTTGGTTCATATTTTTGAAGTGAAAAATTTATTTTCTCTGAGTTAATGTCAAGAACTATGTATAACATCCCAAATATAGTTTCATGAGTTCCTTATTTAATTCTAAAATACCATCCCGTGAGAGGATACGATGCCACTTTTCACTGTGTTCCTCCTTTTAGCCTGTGTTGCTTTTTAATACTTTGGAGACAATGTCAAATAACACTGTAAAGGAAGGAATCTGGGGGAATTATTGTTAGCATTCCAGCTATAAAAAAAAGGAAGCTGTCAGTAACATTTACCAAAAAAAAAAGTGACTCACTTCAGATGTCAGAATTCTGGGTTGAACAGACTGGGCTCTGAATCACATGCGTGTCAGATGATTTTTTAATGAGCATCAGATAGTTCCCACTGGGGGATTAAAAAAATAAAAATATAAACAGAGATATAGAGTTAAAATAACTTTATGAATGGCAGTTTAAATCTTCTATAAAATACTCCCTGTGCAAACCTGGTGTGCTCCAAATGGTTGCTTAATGTAGCAAACCACTTACATTCAAAATGCTATACTTAAAAAATTCTGTACTTAAAAAAGTTGTCACAAAATTAAAAAGAGAATCATATACCACTTGGCTGTAAACTGTACTCTCTGTGTGTTTTTACATTCCAGTAACCTCTATCCAACTCTTTTTGTTGTCGTTGTTATTGTTATGTTTATTACCAAATTACTTTGTGCAAAAGCGATTCAAATTACATGCGGTCTGACTGTGCGTGATCATTTCAACTGATTGTTAATGAATTCTGTTGAACAAAGAACTGCTGTAATCTCTATAGTCAACTCCTTCCTGAGCTACCTTTGAATGGACAACACACAGTAGCTATAGCTGAACAGGCTGTTCCTAAAGTGTGCAATAAATTGGCCGTACTTCACCATGCAGAGAAAAGAGGTCTGTCAGACGGAGTTATTCATAAGATTGGCATTAGGGTATTAATGCGTCTCAAGTCTTAGGGTACATAGTGTATTGCTGATATGTAATGTAGTTCAGCCACTAAAAGACAGCTACCTGAGATAGAGGCAAAAAATCTATTAGGGACATATATAATATTTATGCAAAACGAACGTATGAGCCTTTGCTCATTTTGGAGTCCCTAGAGCAGTGGTTCTCAACCTCCTTCATGTTGCAACCTTTTAATACAATTCCTCGTGTTGAGGTGATCCCCAACCATAAAATTGTTTCATAAGTGGAATGTTGCTGCTGTTGCTCTCATTCATCTACTAATTTCAATTCTAACTCTAATTCACCTAATAATACCAACTTCTAATTTTCCTATGCCATAAAAGAAGCCGACAGCGGTGTCTGTCTCCTAGACTCTTTCAACCAGGATGGCAGCATGATAAGGTATATAAACAACAAAGTAAAACTTGACAATTGACACATAAAACAGGCACTGGTAGACATGCATTTGTGCACAAAGTAGTGGTTTTCAACTGGGCAATATTGTCCCAAGAGAAATCGGGCAAGGCAAACAGTAAGACTTATTTATCATGGCTTGGGGAAACAAGGTACAACTGGTATCTCCTAAGTGGAAGATGAGGAGAGCTCCCCCCCCCCTTGCACATCCAGTGTCTCACTCAAAATCTGGTCACTGCTACACAATCACAATCGAAGACAGTATTTAAATATCCATCTCAGTGGGAAACTGGCTGATTTTTCTGGATACACTCATTCCCAGTAAGAAAAATAAACTCTCATTTTCACCATGACCACCATCATCATCATTGTGTTATTAACATGGCAAGTACTTCAAGAGTTAGAGGAAGCCTAGAGTTTGCCAATGTATAGTGCCAATTCTATTTCCACATTCAGTATTCAATACTACATTAATTGCTGTCAACAATAGATGTTTTTCCTGAACCCCTACTTCTGCCAATCTTTTTTAGGGTGGATTAAACCACCACCAAGAGATTTAAAGCCAGCAGCATATGGGAAAAGGAATAAAAATTAAACATTGTCAAAAACCAAGGCTGTTTGGAAAATCGGAAGGAAACAAAAATGGCCCAAGATGACTGTGTGTGGCAGACTGTTTGGTTAGCTTCCAGTTCAAGTCTTCAGAGAGAGACCATTTCATGATGGGTTTTGAGAGGCCCTGATTGACAAGTCTGGGGGTTGTTCTTTCTCTTCTTTTCTCCTCCCCACAAAGCAGAACTTCTTAAAATTCCCAGGTTTGTCTGCATGTTGGGATCGCCTGAGAGGTTTCAGTGAAGTCTCCAAAGGATGGTGATTCAATTGGTCTGCAGAGGACAATGGTACCTGAGCCTTCGAACAGTTCAAAAACTTAAGCTTTCCCAGTGGACTAGACTCTGTAGGAACTTTAGGGAACCACACTCCTCAGAGTTAGGGCCAAGCACATGCTACTTTCCCAGAAAAGAAAAGGCAATTTTGAAACAGACTCTGACTATGGACTTAGGAAGAGTGGATTTTCTCCCCGGAACTGGATGCCAGCCTCTTTCTAGTTACCCACCAAGCACTGCTCAGTCAGCCCAACCCTGGACTCAATGTAGGAATATGACTGCTGCAACACGTTTTCCATTTCTCAATAGTGCTACCAGAAGATGTCCCTGTGGCCAACCTAGTGGTGTATTTAAGAATGTATTCCCATGTTTCTTCTTTTTCCATCTCAGAACTTTGTTCACAAGTGTAGGTATGTTATATATAAAGTTGCCCTCCAGCTTAATCCTCTCTCTGACACAGTGTGGTAGAATTCCACTTCTCTATACACTCCTTTTAGGTAAAAGGTGGGGTGCTTGTGATAGGCACAATGAATGCCAATGTTCAGTCCAGTGTTGGCTCCATAAAAAACTCTTCTATTATATAGAATGATGTCATGGGCCTTCTCAGCTTTCCCTTTGCCTCTTTAAACTGGTGTCTCTGCCAGGACATTGTCAGGAGCTCCCCGAACATCTCCTACTTATGCCAGTTAATTTCACACAATAAGGTGTGTTCCTTAGAAGACAGTCCCAAAGCCAGAGAGGCCATATAAAATGCCGTTCCTTAGATCAGAACATCCCATATATGAAAGAGTATGTGTTTCCGAGCTTTTTCTGACACAGAGGAAGATCCAGCTTGTAGACTGTTCATCTACACGTGGCTTGTTTTTCTCCTAAATAGAAAGAAAGTGAGGTTTGTAGAAACAAAAGCAAGAAAAAGATGAATACTGATTTTATTGAGACCTCAGAAAGCATCAGAATCACCTGCTTCTCATGCCCATGGTACATGATGATGCTGATACCACACAGTGACATCCTGTTGATCCATAGAAATGAATTCTTTGGTTTTTCCCCACTCACAATCCTAAAACTTGATAGTAGAGAGATGTGTTACAAATTATTATGAAATTTACAATGTACATAAAAGTTTGTGATTTCACTTTTCAATTCTATCTGAAAATAATCTTGCTCGATAATGTTTTATTCCATTTCATAGGACTTTATTCTTTCAAAGTGTAAAATGTGAATTTTCTTGCAAATGTCCTTTCTTAGATCACAGTGAATTTGTGTATGTGTGTTTCCTTTTTTTCATCTAGATACGCAGCTCACAAATGAAAAGCATGCAGAAGAGAAACCTATTAATGCTATCATTATAAATTCAGTATCCGAATTCAATATCACAGATGGACCAGTCCAGGAAAGCCCCAATGAGAAAAACCTGTCAGGATCGAGCACTTCACTCTCCTCCCTCGAAGAATGCCAAACGAAATTTCCCTACCTCCAAACTAATACTTCAGTTCATCGGAGAGACGCTGATGGTATGTTTCTCAGAATACAACCCATCTCTAAATAAAGCTCCCAACCCCAGTCCTTGTAAAAATCACTACATATGCTGTTAGAAACAGAAAAAAAAGTCTTTATGAATATTAAACAGGATGACTTTGATTTGAAAAACGCTACTGAATGACATGTGTCAAGGTCACTTTGTAGTGAGGAGGTGCTTGGCAGAGTGTTTGCTCCCAGAGCTGGGAATCGGAGGCTACGTTTTAAATATCTTGGACCAGAGCAGCATGCTCGGATGGGACTGAAAAACCAGTAAAATCAAATAAAATTTTCTTTTCTCAGAAATGAGACCATTCTGCCCATGACTCTAAGCATATGGGGCAAGGGGAGAACAGAGTGGAAATGCAATAAAATGCTAGAAACAACAGACACGTGAGAATAGGGAGACAGCTCCCTTGGTAATATGCTTGCTATATAAGAATGGGGACCCGAGCTCAATTCCCAGAACTCCCATAAAGAAGCTTACAGGGGTAGTATGATCTTCCACTGGGGAGGTGGAAGCAGCCAGATCTTTGATCCTCTCTGGCCAGCCAGTCTAACCTGCTTGGTGAGCTCTAGGCCAGTGAGACACATTGTCTCAAAAGCTAAGGCAGATAGCACTGGAGGAATGACTCTCAAGGTTGACCTCTGGCCTCCACACACATAAAACCCCCAGCCCAAACACAAATAAAAAAGATCATATAAAATATCAATGCATTTACATCAACCATCTCTGGGTAAAGGTTGACTCTCCTGGCAACCTCACTAGGTATTCTGATCAAGTGCAGTCATAGACCAGCACACCCCATATACTCTGTACAACAAAAGCCCATTTCTGATTGATTTGGTGCTAAACATCAGCTCAGTCAAGTTCAAGCTCATGAATCCTCAACATGATAAATAAAGTTTAGCTCAGAGTAGCTTTGTAATTGCCATTCCAGGGATAATGAGCTGCGCAAGAGTTCTGTAGTATTCCAAGTCTGTACCTATGGTTCCACGGAAATAATCCCTGGGCTTTTCTGCACCTCATATTTCAATACTGAAAATAAGAAAAATGGTTAGGGCTTGCATAAAAACCCCTTCATCATCCCCTTAACTTAGCTACTGTTTCTGGAGTTTATTAATTGGATAAAAAGAACAGGTTTGGGGTTTGCCTTTTCTGTTTGAACATCCCAAACTCAGTCTCTTAGTTTTATACGAGGGTTAGCAACAACCCAAGGGCCAGTGTGGGGTTTGAATGAAATATGTGTACAAAGCACCCACTGGAAAAGCTGGCACACAGAATTTCAACTTTAGCTTTTCATATGATTGCAGTTTTTTTTTTTGAGAGGAAAGAGAGAGACTTCTACCATGTGTTGTAAATGTGCTGTCTTATGCAAATGTTGATATGGATACCCAAAAGCAGAGACTAGCGACTTGGTTGGTTAAGATTGCCAGAAAAGAATGTGAATAATGAAGCTGGAGGTAAACAAGAGGGAACAGTGAGGACTGCGGGAACCCGAAGATTACCTCATCTATAGGCCATTAAAATATCGCTTATGAGAGGACAGCTGCGTATGTCAAGTATTTTTTTCTCCCTATCACAAAGTTGTAAGGCTAGATCCCAGAACCCATGTGAAGAAGGCAACATAGTTGTCGCTGTAAAATAAATCGCATGCTTGATGAGGTTATAGTAACTATTTATTGTGGAAGGTACTTACAAGAGAAACTGGCAACCCAGGTGAGTCAGCAGCTTTCCAAGACAGGACCAGAAGCCCAAAAGAGAGCTTGCCTCTCTCCTGCACAGCCTTTTATTCCTGTCCTTATGTGCCTCTAGCCACGCCCAAATTGGGCGTGGTCAGCAGCACAGGTATCTAAGATCTCTTTCTACTCATTGTGGTGGGTTTGTAATCCCAGCACTGAGGAGGCAGAGGTAGGGGTACCCCTGGGCTCACATTCAGCCAATCAAGGCCATTTGATAAGCTCCAAGTCATTTTGAGTCCTTGTCTCAAGAGAGGTGGACAGTATTCCTAAGGATGACAATAAGGTACTTATGCAGCCTAGAGAGAAGGAGAGGGAGGGAGGGAGGGAGGGAGAGAGAGAGAGAGAGAACTCAAACCAGAGGAAGCAATAGCTTTAGAGTTGCTTGATCTTTTTGTTTTTTAATTTGAAACAGGGTCTCTCTGTGTATCCTTGGCTGTCCTAGAACTTACATTGTAGACCAGTTGGCTTGTAACTCACAGAGATCCACCTGCCTCTGCCTCCCGGGTTCTGGGATAAAAGTCATGTGCCACTCTACCCAGCTGACCAGCCAGATCTTGAAGTGATCTAAAAATATGTAGAGAATAAGGATGCCACATGAAACTTCTAAATATTTTAATATTGATAATGACTTCTATTTATTCTCTGGCACACAAGGCATCTCTACATGTCTTTGGGTCAACTTTAATCTGTCAACTTGGGCTTCCACTAGAGTTCAACTTTGATCCAGACAAAGGGAAGGCATGAAAACAAGCAGGGGGTGGGGTTCTCAAAAAGCATCTGACAGCAGAGTGTTTCTGTGGATTTTATGAGGAGGTGGTGATGGTGCTCATTGTATGCATCAGGCAAATGATCCCAGAATTAGGAACTGTCGTTATATACAGCCACAGACATAACATCTCCCACAGAGTGTGTCCCTCTGTCTGGTTGGGAACCTAGAGAGAAGCATGAGATCAGCTGTCTCCTGTTGTCAGGGAAAGGGGAAAATGACTACTCTGTTTAAATGGCAACTGATATTTAAGAACCTCCTGGTAAGAAAAAAAGATTTCTCCTGTTCAAATGTGCTAAAAGAGATCAAGAGGATGTGTGGCTAAAGCTGTTCATTATAAGAGGTGACTAAGACCAGTAGGACCTAGAAAACTCAGATTTTCAGCAGAGGATATAGGTCATAAGCCATCCTTCCTTGCTCCCTTTTTGGAAAAATAAATCTCCCCAGTGAGGTAGGTGAGTAAAAGAGGAAGTAAAGAAAAAAAACTCATACTAGGAATCATAAGTCATAATTTAAAAAATAAAAACACTCAATATGCTAAACAGCGATGAATCAACAACTAAGCCAGTCCCACTCCTAACTTTACAGAATTTTTATAATAATTTAAGGGTGCAGAGAAATGAAAATATGGGGCTACTGTTCAAACTGAGACAAATCCAGAAATGTCTGTAAGGAACACAGGGGCAACAGAAAGGGAAAAGGGAAGATTGTGTCCACTTTCGTGCAGTTTGTGGTTAATTTATTTTGAAAGGTATAAATGAGTTCTGGGGAATGGAGACCTAATTACTAATATCTACATATATCACCTCCACTTAAAACAGGGTGGAAAAGGCCCACATATGCAGATTTTGTAAATGTGTTGCCTCCATTAGCAGAGTTCACAGGGTGTGCTCTGATGGGAATTTAAAAGGATCTTTACTGAACCTCATGTTCCCTACGCCAGCATTTTGTCAGTAGCTAGGCTCATCATGTGTGGTCTCTTTCCAGAAGAAAATGGGAAACACACCCAGGCTACCCTGCATGTACCTGCTCCACTGTCCATAATCTTCTACTTGCAAAAGGATTGTGTGGAAAAGGAAGCCAGGGGCACACATCACCTTAGATAGCAGGCTCCTTGGAAAGCAATTCTGGAAATATGTCTAATTGATGAATAATTTTGAATTTCAGACATCTCATCCAGGTAGAAGGAGAAAATCATAAATATAAGATACCTACAAAGAATAGTCTTAATTGCATCATGGGCTACTGAATAAAATGATTACATTTTCTACACTGTAAATTTCATGCAATTAAATGTAGTGGTGTCACCTTATAAAGTGTTTCAATTTTGTAATTATTTCAGTTCATCTGCTCAGAAAAAAAAACATAAGCACAAATTTACCAAGTATCACCCAAATCTAGTCATTCTGCTTCTAAAGGAGTGACGTGATGTTAGTTGTGCTTGTCTGAGCTTAAATAGATCTTGACATATTTAAGGAGCTGTTAAAATGGATAACATCAGGGATGATAGCCCTGCTAGAGAAAGGCATTCAGTCATACTTTATTTATTCACATTCTCTGTTACAGACATGTATTTATAAAGGGCTTAATGCTGGGGGAAGGGACTTCAGTTTTTATGCTTTTGGACTCAGAATCTTCAGTAGGCAGTTGACATTGTTGTGTTGCATGTCTGTAAGTAGCAGCACACAGCTACACTGAGGCACTGGGCTGGGACCAGTACCATCTGGTCTATTTCTCATCCTACTGTATTCTAGCAGAGTAATGGGTGAGGTTGCTGCTTCTCTGGGTCACTTCTATAAAAACTACACTTGTGACACTTTGCTTGATGACTGACATGGGAGCAACAGGCTGTTTCTGAAGTTAAAAAATGTCCTAGGAGCCACAACTGGCAGCCAGGGATGTCCTTGCTCTCCATTCTTCTCATGTGGGGACATCATGTAATGAGACAGAAAGCTGGGAGGGCAACGTCAAGGAATGGTGATGAGGCTGACCCCAGGTACACAAGTGGAGCGTGTTGGCTTTGTTATAATTTCCACTATAATTAAACATGAGCCTTTCTAATGAGACACATTCTCCCTCTTAATTAGCCAATCCCCAGCAGAATGTTTAGCACCTCGAAGCTGCCTTAATTCTTCTGTGTTATTAGAGTATCATCACTTAGCACATTCCAGCTTGAAAGTACCTTAGGGGTATAGGAAGACTTGAGACAACCCTCAGAGGGATTTTCCAAGGCTCCTTGCTCACAGCTAAATACAGCTGTGGAAGCTTGGCCTGCAGGTCTTGGATCACGTCCTACTGCCTTTATTCCAGGTTTAGGAGGGATGACGGCATTCTGACAACAGTGATTAGAGGCAATGCCAGGGTACCAGGTGGTTCAATCGAGAGGATTTCCTGTGCAAGGAACTTGTTGCAAAGGTGCTAAGAGAGTTGAAAAGGCCAGTGCAGCAAACAGTGGGGTAACCCAGAAATCCACACCATGAGAAGGCTCTATCTGGCCCAAATCTGCCAGACCATCGCACTATTGTACTGAACTCATAGTTCCTTAGCAACTAACTAGTACTAGACAGTGACTGCTTTTATTCAGAGCCATGGGGAGGAGGGCAAGAGAGAAAAGGGGGGAGACAGCCAACACCCAAGACAACATGCAACACACAGAACTGGAGTAAGGCAGAAGAAAGACCCTGGCTTCCATTCCTTCTCCCCCAGCTCCTGGGCTCCTTTGAATGCCTCCCATGGACTGAAACCAGTCAGTAGCCATGGAAATAACTTGGCTTCCTACATTGCCAGCCTTGTGACTCAGAAAAGGGATCTTTCGAATGCTCACAACTGGTAAAAAGCAAGCCAAAGCATGGAAGAGCATGGTTAGCTCTAGTTCAAGCTTTGAAGCCCCAGGTTCACATAATAGCCTACTCACTTGCGGGGTGGAGGGTGGGGTCCTGGATCATGGCACTTCGAATTCTCTGAGCTCTGCGGCCACATCTATAAAGAGGGGTGATGAGAGTATTCAATCCAGGGTCTTCTTGAGGGATGTCTCATGTGAAGCATAGACAGCTGTGGATTGGCTTGAGGTGAGAAAGAAACAGGCTTCCACCACCATTGAGGAGGACATGGGCCCTTTAGTGACACTCCCTCAACTTTGGTCTTAGACTCGCTCGCAGATTGATTCAGTGAGAGATGGCAAGCTAAGTTCACCTGTGGGCAGCACTGTGAAGGAAAGAGTGAGAGTGGTGTTGTGCGTGTTTGAGAAAGTGCCATTTGGAGGGAAGATGATTCAAGCAAAGAATCTAAGGGTTTGAACGTGAGTTGGGTGAAGCTTCCACCCAGGGAGTGACAAAGAAGAAAGCACTGCATATGCGAAGGTTGTGAGGTAGGTCCATTTCAAATCCTGGGATTCAGTCAGCGTGGTGATAGCACAGAGAGTAAGGAGTAAGACAAGGCCAGGAGTGAGGGAGAGTGGCAGGAGGCTTGTAGGAGCTTCTTGTGGCAAGGGTTGGGGCTTGAAGGGAGAGTAAGTGCATTTTGTTCGGAAATTCAAGTGCCACAAGGGCTCACAGATTTGAAATCAGCACTTGTGGTGGCAAGCCATCTTCAGAGGGAGGTTATGGCTGTGTACCTGAAGATAACTAATGAGGTCCCAACCAGGCTAGTGGGGCTGAAGGCAGCTGAGGAAGCTTGCAGTGCAGTCAAGACTGACGGGTAACTACATCGAGACAGTAGGAGAAGCACAATGACCAACGATACTCCGGGTTTCTAGTGACTTCATCAGGGTACTGCTATCCACAGTGCAAACTGGGAAGGGACAGGTGTGTGGCATGGAGAAGAGGAGGGTTCAAAATAAGACCTGGCCTTAGGAAGCAGTGTATTTGGAAGACGCTGCATAAGAGCATTGGCGGCTCCATACACGGTGTGCTCTCACAGACTGGCCAAGAGCAGGGCATTAATCATGAGCTGTGTCTCTGGATATCATGTTTATTAAATACTACAGCCCAGGAAGCTACAAGGAAAGAAAAATATACTCAATCTGGAGAACGGGAAGTCCTGGACTCTTCAAACAGTTGTAAAATTTCTTCTGAACTGCTTACATTACTTTTGTGCAAACAAAACGGCCATATGCAAAAGAGTTCAGCCTGCTGCTGTAGTATTCTTTAATATGCCTTTCAGGAAAGCACAGTGCACACTTGAAAGTTAAGAAAAATCTGTTTGTAATTCATTAATGTTGCCGTGCTTTTCTTCAGCAAGAGGTTCTGCCTTTTATAACCAAATAAACGGGACAGACTTAAAAACAGGGGTGTGATCGGGGAATGTTCTATTCTCAAGCGTAAAATAGAAAATGGAAGGAAACAAATGCCAATTCAGCCAAGGGATTAAGCTCAAACTCTTTGGGTAAGTAAAATCTATGGTGTACTTTCTACTGAGAATAGTTTTTCCTCCAGGATCTGATAAAGGTAGAGTTGGCATGGGTAAAATCAAATGAGTGTGTGCTTGACTACCAGCACACACTCTCCAGAAAGGCAAAAGGCAGAATGGAGTCCATGAACTATTATGAACTTACTCTTGAATTTTTGTGGGTGGCTTGTGGTGACTTATGAGAGGTGAGTGAGTTGACCATATGCTAGAAGCTAGAGTTAAGTGAATAAAAATACAGCCATCCTGACAGAGAGATGAGGAAGTATACATGCTACAGAGGTATCAGGGATTTGTCTGATGCAAAGGTATCAGAGAGCAGACCACCTGTACCATGAATGCTGAGTATGGCACTTACAGTTATTGTAAAAGTCGTGTGTGTGTGTGTGTGTGTGTGTGTGTGTGTGTGTGTGTGTGTGTGTGTGCTAAACATCACCTTTCTGAGAAGAGAGAAGGGGAAATGTGGGAAGAGCAGGAGGGTAGAAGAATGCCGTGTACCTACACTCAGATTTCATTTTGGAACATTGAACAGTGCAAACCCACATTCTTTGAAATATTTACTCCTCTCTTTAAGAGCCTGTTTCTAAGTTTGCCCTTCCTTTGGAGAGTACCTAATCTGTGAACAATTAATGAACAAGACCATGCTTTGGAGGTGAATCAGTCTGTAAGGGTCTAGTCAAGTGAGCATGAGGACCTGAGTTTGGATTCCCAACAACTGCATCAAAAGAAAAAGTCAGGCTGAGGAGCATGTGACTGTATTCAAGGCTGGTCCTCCTGTGTCAACGTGTCTAATGCTAAGGGAAGTTTATTATGTATGCCTATATGTCACAGGCTATAGTCAGAAAATCACAAAATTACTAACATGCTTATTGAAACAATGGATTCTTATGAATCCCAAATTTTATGAACTGGTAAATCCATATGGAGGAGAAATTTCTCCCAACTCATACTGGAATATGACATTCAACCACCAACAACCTTCAGATTACTTATTAATTGGATTATATGAATTATTACCTCTTGTCTTTTACCAAAAAGAAAAAACTCCTGAATTTTTGACATGTCTAAAGCACACACACACAAAAATGTAATTTTAACAAGAGAACTGCAACACCACTCTAACTAACTCCCTTTATGGAGCAAAACTATATAATAATCTATAAGCCATCGCAGCTGTTTGGCTAGAATTACCAATTACCTTTGGTACCCCGGAGATGATTTCCAGATTGTTTAACAAGTCCTCACAGTAAATTTTTAAACCAATTTTCTTAAAGGCAACTGATAAGATTTAAAACCTCTTAGGCAAGAGATGACGAGACTCTCTACTTAAACAACTTGAATACGAAATCAAGGCTTTCCATGACTACAAGAAGATGGAGACGGGAACTAAAATAAAACACAACCCAAAGAGCTGTGACTATTTTAAACAGCATTTCAATAAAGTTTGGAACTATGCGTTTCCCTCTTGTTTGGATATGGGTGTGGTGGATTTATGGGAGGCCATGTCAAACGTATCTGGAAGCATGGTGACAAGCAATGGAACATCTGTGGTCTTTCCTTGTCCCCGGTTCTAATGGCTTCTGAGCCAATGCATTTGGGAAAGGCCTGTTGTCATTCAGAGAGTTGCAAAGACAAGTAGCTCATCCAGTGCCTTCCCAGCACTTTACAGGCAAACCAAATCAAGAGGTTCAGGACAAAATGACAGCACACTTTAAGTAACTTGATTAGACAGAATCAATAGGAAAGGCTCAGGCAGTTAACAACATGATTACTTAAACAGTGAGTAGTGGGATGGGGGAGAAGCTGGGCAGACAATGCACATCACATCTCATGGTTGGGGAGGGAGCTTCGAGGGTGAAGAACTAACTGTACAAGCATAAGGACCTGATTCAGATTCCCAGACCTGAACAAAAAAGCCAGGCATGGTATCACACCTATGACCCTAGACCTTGCAAAGGTCAGGGATACATGGATCCCAGAGGCTCGTTAGCCCACCAGTATAGCAATCTCCAGGTTCAGGGAGAGATGCCAGCTCAGAAAACATGGTGGGGAAACAATTAAAGAAGACATCCCAGTGTCAAACTCTGGCTTCCACAACATCCTGCACAGGCAAGCATGCACGCACACTCACACACACACACACACACACACACACACACACACACACAGTAACGCCCCTCCAGCTTTCCCATCATGAATTCTATTATTTTAATTGTCCACACATGTGCTGCAATCTGATTTTCTAATGGGTATATGTAACATGAAGTTGGAATGATCAGATGAGGGCAGTTAGCAATGCCCTTCCGTCAAACACTATTAACATTTCTTTAAATGATTCACATGTACCGACCTTCTCTTTCTTTAAACAGAGGAGTGTGCCTCCCTGATCCTCACCTGTCTCTTTTGCCAGTTCTGGGACTGCCTCCTCATGCTCCCTGACACATGTGAAACGGCATGCATCAACCTGTGCTGCCCCTCTCACAGGTACTACTCTGCCTCAGATGAGAACCATCCACGCAATGATTGCAACTTAACCTGTGACATGGACTGCAGCCTCTTTGAATCCTGCCATGAGACCAGTGAGTGCCTGGAGCTGGCCATGGAGATATCAGAAATCTGTTACCGCTAGTGCAAGGAGAGAGAAGCACATGGGTGGTCGGTCCTTTTGGCCACAGTGGGGAATTCTATTACAATGCATCTGAGATAAGAGTTCCGTGTGCCCAAATGCAAGGACCATACATGTTTCTTGGATGCTCTAGGCCATTTTATGCTGCACCTGTCTGAGAAAGCTACTACTGTCAACTCTGTGGTCTTGTTCCAAATTTCACAACCGCATGGCTCGCTGCAAAATATGATTCTTGATCACACACATGATGAACAAATTGCAAATACCTCTTAAATGCCATAGGTACAAGATGTTTCTTGACTGTTAAATAGCATGCTAAACCACACTGTGCTCTTGACTAGGCAGCCTGCATTGTGGCTCCAACTTCATTCATGAATTCAGGACAAATGCTTTCTTGTAGGCTCAACACACATTAGTTATCTTTCTGACGGACTCATGCATAAACATTATGCATTATTGGTTGTTATTAATAATGTATTATATAACATCATTTTGTAATTAAAAATTCATTTATACAGTCTCTTAAAATTCACTTATATGCACAGTTTAGGTAGGAAAGGGAATTAAATGAATCAGACACCATGTTCCTATAATTAAAGCAGATGTCTTTGAAACCTCTCCAATGAATCTTGAACCTGGTGGACTTCAGGAGAGCCCTATAATTCTAGGCAACATCATTATATACCTGTGGCTACATCCTAAGAGGTCATGCATATTCTTAATTGGTTACATAAAGATACTTCTTTACTACAATATGCAAAGATTGGAGCCATGTGCATGTTTTGGGAATATGATCTATGATAATCACATCTTTGCTTTCCTCGCTTCTGTTTGTCAGCTGTAATAAGCAACAGGATATTAAAGGGAAATCGGTTCATTTTACGAAACTATCCCATGTACAGACACCTAAAATAAATACACCTGCGGCTCATATTTCCCAATGCAGTCTGCATGCTCTGGACACCACAATTCTAAAACCAAAAATTTATTTTTCTGCTAACAAAGTGACCCATGACTACATTGAAAATGATTTTAGCTCTTGAACTGTTGAAAAAGGCATGAAGCATGCTACAAAGTTACTTTGAAATGGAATAAATCAAAGCATACACCTGGCAGGAAAGGCGCAGCTAGGTTGACAGAACTGGGGAATCTCTGCACTCTGTAGGTGTGGAAGAATGAGGGAAGTGCTTTGTTCATAGGCATGCGTGCATGTATTTCCATGGATGGAACACTGTGTTTTATATGAACTTACAAAGCACAACATAGCAGCAAACAAATTAGTAGACAAATGAGAGTGGGGGACTGAAAAACGCTTATGTAGGCTGAAGAACAAGCCCTTAAATACTCCCAAAAATAACTGTTTGGTTTACATTGTTTTACTCTCATCCTTTGGGCAGTTTTTAAAAAAAGCAATGTTTGCTTGTATAGTAAACTAGCATTAATTTTTCTAACCTGTGAAACATTTTCAAACATTGAACACAATCTTTAAAAACTACTGCTGAGCTGCCTTGAAATTGCATTTAACCCCTCTTAGCTTTCTCCTAAAAGTAGGGTATATATCCATGGTTAATGCTGGTTTCCCTCTTCTGTGGGTATTAAGTCATTCATGGACCACAGAACATGAGAGTATGCCATCCCCATCCCCAAACATTTCTTTTTATCTACCTTTCGAAGCTCAAAGGCACAACTCTCAAGTCTATGCATATGATTCACAGATCATTAAAAAACAATGTGGAGAGGCATGATGGTACCCACCTAAATCTCAGCAATTCGGAAATCAAACCAAGGGTATCAGAAATTCAGTGCCTCATCAGGTACATAGCAAGTTGGAGACCAATCTGGGGTACACAGATGTGTTATTAAAATTATAAAAACACTAAGCAATCCCCAAGAATGGGGACTAAACATGTCATCTTGGACCCACCCATGTGGGATCCTAACTCAGGGTCTAACTTTACTTTCTAACTCTACAATTATTGACTTGTTAACATCACAAACATTAAAACACTATATACTGATAACAACTAATGACAACCTTGAACACCGTATGCTTCCAACACCCACCACCTTTGCTCCTGTCCAAGCACCCAGCCATTGACTCACATCTTAGTCACTAAGGAAGGACCCATAGAGGTCTTTAGACTCCACCCCAACTGTACTTTATGTACCTGGTCTCGTTGCTCAGCCTGTCATATTCATGTTCAATGTCTTGTCACCAGCCCCTTATTCTTTCTCAACTACATGCCCTCAATTTATGTAAAGATTGTGCAATTCAAATATGAATTCAATGCTTGTTGTTTAGAGACTTAAAAGTCAGCAGTTCTTGTTTGACAATGTTGTCAGAACCCTCTAAAATCTTCCTATGGCCTAGCTTTCCACAGTTTGTTAATTTGCTTCTCACTCTGAGGATTCACCATGCTCTACCAGAAAGGGTCAGTTATACAAAGTGTGAAATTTTTTTCTTTACAACCAATAATAAAATATCCTTTTTGCAAACGTGAATGGTGATTTCAATTGAATTCCTACACAATAAAGCATGTGCAGCTGGGAGAACACAGTTGCAGCAGTAATAGGACAAAGCCAAACGTGGTTATTGATTAAACACAACTATCAGGATCTGAGAAGGCACTGGTATTCTACACCAATAATGAAGGCCTGTGATTACAATTGAGATAATGCTGTACTTCAAAGTAGGCCTGCATAGGGAATGGAGCATTCTGCTTTAAGGAAGCACATTAGAATCAAAGAGATTAGTGAATATCCAGTCTTTGTGGAGAATGGAGAAAACATACTCCCGCCTAGGTCTGTAACCATATAGTTACATTGTCTTTCCTTTGCTCTATGGATTTTTATAAAACTATTGCTCTGCTAAAAGCCACCAAAATATGGAAAGCAATGAAGAAAAGAAGTGAAATCGTCCCACTACATGCGCTGAGAGGCCTACAAAATTAATTTCAATGCTGGACAATCAAAGTTAATAGAGTGAAAGGCATTTCAGGTTTTTTTTCCAGGATGATCAAAAAAATATATCCAGGCAGAAAAACTTTACCAACGGGAAAGGAGATCATTCAGAATTGATTTCAAGGATAAACACACAGGTAGAAGGTGTTTGAAGAAGCAATTTCATCCCCCAGAGTCTGGTAATGTCCCCCTCTACGGGTCAGGGGGGACAATGTACCCTTTTCTCACTATGATGCATAAGTAAGGCAATAGACTCGTTAGCAAAAGAATGATTTATTAGGCTCATAGTTTTGCAGGCTTGGTCAACAGTTGGGTAGTTTTGTTGCTATGAGGTTTGGAGTCCTTTGCAGCAGGACATACCTGTTCAAAACAGGGCCTGGAAGTAGATCCAAAGAAGGACTGGGTCCCACAATGTCTTTCAAGAGCATGCTTCCAGTGACCAGGAGGAATTTCACTGGACACTGCTTCCTGAACACAGCCACAACAGGGACCATGAGTTTCACACTTGGGCCTCTGGGAAGGCACTCAAGACCCCAGGAATAGCACTTAATTAAAGGAATTGTTAGTGTCACCACTCAACTGTTTAGATTCCTCATACTATTTGAACTGATAGCTTCCAAAGAAATATGCACACTTGGCTTAAGGGTTTGTTGGGTACTTTGTGAAGAGCAAATATAAGCAGTGGCCTGGCATTTGCCATTTAGAGCTTCAAATGGACTACAGAAGAAAACAAAGGGAATTGAGAATTGGAGGCTATCATGAAATTAAATTTGTACTCATCACTGTCCCAGAAAGAAATCCACACAGTTCCTTACCTTTTAAGGAAGGAGCAGAGGAGGTGAAGACCAGTAAGGAACTGGACAAAGTAGGGTACAGCCTCTGTTATTAGGATGTAAGTGCCACCTTTGGTCTACCATGAATCAGGGTTAACAAGTAAGAGTTATTTGCCCTCCTTTTTGCACGGGTCAATGCTTGGAAGCACAACTTATTGCCAAACAATAGAGAGGAAGTTTCTGAGACTAGGTAGCTAAGAGGTAGGAGACAGGCACACTGTTGATCAGCCAGTGAGGACCCCTGTTTTGCTGCACTATGGAATGTTTCCTCTGGGCTCAGGTGTTTACATACTCTGCTCTAGTGCATGACATGGTTTTGTTTTGGTATTTTCTGGGGGAGGAGGGAGTTGTGAAACCATTAGAAGGGGAGTAGGGAGGGTAGGCTTTGGAAGGTTCTAGACTAAGCCTACTTCACTGCATCCTGGCAGGTGCCATAAAATAAGGAGCTGCAGCATACCCCCATCACAGAAGACTGGACCCAGCACTAACCCTTCTCTACCACCACAGACTGAAATACCATGAACCAAAAAGAGTACTTCTCTCCTTCTTTGCTTTAGGCACATATCTGATATGGCAACTAGTAAAACAACTAATGCAGACCCCTCTAAATGAAGAAATATCTAAACATGAGTGGTCTGGCTTAAGAGACCCTGTTCAGGAAGCTGTTAGTCATCTCAATTAATAATCCTCACCTAAAACACTTAAAATCAGAGTGGCAAGATAAAACACAGGATACTTTGTTAACTTTGATTTCAGAACAGTAGCAAATATCTTCATATGAACATGTCCAAACTACTGCATGTCACTTATTTATACTTCAGATGTGATAATTAAATCTAAAACAATGGTTCAAAAGCCCTTCACTCCAAGTTGAGACCTGTATCCAGCTCTTGCCAGAAGAAAAGGAACTGGCCATCCCTTTTGTTACATCCCAGGCCATTCACTGAGTCATATTTAATAATCTGTGCAATTACAAATGATCATGGGACTCTGGTTTAAAGAAATTCTGTGTTTTATTTCTTGCCCCAAAAGGGCCACTATCCTAGAGAAGAAGCTACGGTTTTTGTTCCTCATCTCCATCATCACTTAGAAGGACCTCAGACTAGGGCCTTGTTTATTCAACAAGTAGGGAGCTAGTATAGATTGGAACTTAAGTGTCTTCTAAAAGGCCACATGTTAGAGTCATTATCCTCAACCTGATAGTCTTGAAGGTAATAAAGTCTAAGAGGTGGCACATAGTTGGGGGTCTTGGAGTCATTAGGGAAATGTCATCAAAAGAGAAAATGGGGGAGGGTGTCCAGGAGACAGCTCAGTCAGTAAAGTGTTTGGCAAAGGCTGATTTGATCCCAAGAACACAATTTTTAAAGCAAGTTGGTTGTGGTGGGCACATACCCGTTAGCCCAGTACTATATAGGTAGAGACAGACAATCCCTTGAGCTCCCTGGCCAGGCAGTCTGACCTAATTAGTGAAATTCAATCAATGAGAGACCTAACCTTGCAGACAAAATGAGTAGCATTTCAGGCCGTGTTCTTCATTTTTCGTGCATAACAACGCCGTGCATATTCATGTGTGTACATGTGTGTCAGCATACACACACACACAATAGCTGGACTCCAGTCTGTTTTCCTTTCTAAGGTGAAGGTTTGCTCTGTCACAGGCTACACCTGAGAATATCCTATCTGTCCACAGTCTCTAACAAAGTAGTCTCAATAAACCATGAACTGGAGTCTTCAAGACTGTGAACCAATGCTCTGAGTATTCCATGTAAAGTTGACAAATGCAAAGCCAGAGACCTGGAGACCTAAGGTCTGACTCTAGCTTTTTGTGTCAGTCTTGAACCAGAAAGCCCCACTTTGAGAGCAGCTTACATGGCTATGAGGGAATATTCTCCCATCCTCTACTTAATTTCCATGTATCTCCGTGAAGAGGACTGAATGGGAAGGTGAGATGGAGACACTTCCTGGTCACGGGTTCAGTTCCAACCATTAACACCCAAGCTTTATAATGCATTTCTTGTGTCACAGTGGGCTTTGTTATTTTATTAGTATTCATTTTGTATATGTAAATGTTGCAGTATTGAAAATACTTAAGTGTTTTCTCAATCCTATCAAATCGTTTTACCAGCTCCTATGAAATACTTTCTAATCTTAAAAATCTTCAATGTTTTTAGGGAGACTTAACAGAAATTCAGCAACTTCCCATGAAGCTGTTGTCACAATTTAAACAAAGCCTATTCTTTCCAAAGCCCATGATTGTAATTACTCACACTAGATGTTAAACATGATTTTTTTTAAAAAGATGAAACTGAGTCAAAGCTTGCATATTTGCTTTGTAAGCTATCAGATAAGTATAATTACTCTAGTCACAGAAAAAAAAACCACTCCTTGACAATAAATGTCTCAAAAGTTGTTATGTTATGCAAAGATTAGAGCTTGGATCATCTTCAAAATGCTTTTCTGATATGTACCCAATAAGTAATAAATGCAAAGTCAATGTATTCCAATTTAATACTGGTGCCATAGCTTTGCCTCAGTCCTCTAGGGTTACAAAGACTTACCTTTTAGTGTTCCATTTTCACGAAGCAACTTTGAACTCTGCTTCAAGAGAATCCATTGTGCACACTGAGTCCAGGCCAGCCCCTCATCAGCATTCTAGTGCAGGGTTCTAGGATCATGAATGGATTTTAATCAGTCAACAACACTGTGGTCAACGAAATGCATTCTGATACTTAGACCTTTTATCTCCAAAGCTGTGCAGAATCCAAGGTCATGGTGACCTCTTTTATGGCTTATTGTTCCTCAAATGTACTTAGAGTGAATTTACAAAGCCACAACTTATTTTGTGGATACAAAGCTTTCATTAGGTTCAGCCCTCCCTCCATCCCCTTTGTTTCTTCTTTCAGCACTTTCTGCCAATGGATCCTCATTTAACAGAAAGTTCCCGTAAATTCTCTTTAAAAATAAAATAAGAATATTGAGTAAGGTTCCATAGCAAAGCTGCTCATCGTTTGTCACTGAGGCTCTTCGGAAATACACTTTAATGTTTCAAATGACTGCATAGACTTGCAATGTAAGGCATCAGTTTCTGCAACTGTTAAGAAGGCAAGAAGCCTAGATAATGCCAGGCTCACCTGGTTCCGTCATGGTCCTATTTATGATTTCCCATGTGTTTTCCATGAGAAAAACACCCCTGGATCATAAGGTGGGTTTGTGGAACTACCCACTGGAAGAGGAACTGGAAATTGGGCTCCAATGCTCGAAAAGTTCTCAACAGATCCATTCAGCCTGCAAAGTTATCACTTAACTCATGTTTTTGATAGCCTTCATTTAAACAATAAAATATAGCAATCTATTGCTCTGAGAACTCTGGTTTAATTTCAAGTTGCACACAAAACAGAACAAACAAGCAAACAAACAAACAAAAACAGTCATGGGAGGGAGTTCTTGAAATCTCAGAGCTTTGGAGGCCCAGAAAGGTGAGTATCTGGGAATCACCGGCCTGGCAGCCTAGGTGAATTGGAGAGCTCCGGATCAGTGAGCAAGTCTGTCAATAAAACAAGATGGATGGCATCTTAGGAAAGATATCTGAAGTGGGCCTCTGGCCTCCACAAGCATGTGCACATGGGCCTGAACTTTATGCATACAAATATACAAATATGTGCAAGTCTACACACTACTGTGTAACAAATTCATGTAGGCACATGCTTGCGCACACATACATATACACATAGAGAGAGAGGGAGAGAGCAAGAACAAGGCCACTTATGCAATCTTTAAAAAAAAAAAACCTACTGCCCACATCAATGTAACACGTTATAGACAATGGTCATATGCTAAGTTTATAACTTATCGGGGAGCCAATGAAACACCACTAAAGAATAGCAGGGAGAAAGTAAAACACTAAGAAGGAAGATGGGCTATACAGAGGCGTGCAGGACACATCAAAACAAGGCGAATTGGAAACAGAGAGGAGTCATTACTGTACGGCACTGGAAGCTGAAAGCTTGAAATAGGAAGCCGACAGGGAAAACAGGAGGGAAGAGATGGATGGGAAAGAAATTAGAAAAGGACCATTAGTCCTTTCTCAAAGTTCTTATTTTAAGACTCAAATATTCCCTACTGTCTATCACATATATGAGTCATGAAGGCATTATTTTCATTAGGGGAGAAACGGATTGGGGAGGATGGGGGGGCTATATTCCAAGTGGAAAGCCAAGGTATATTTTTAGCTACATTAAGCCAGCCTTCTGCTGCTCTGAGCACTGATGTAATTCCAACATAAAACATAATCTATAATATTCCAGGGGAACAAATCCAATTCTTGGTCATATAAATTTTCATATAAGTCCATCACAATTCATTCCCAAAACATCTCATTCTCTTTGAAAGCTGGAGCTGCAGCTAGTGATCAAAGAGAGGACTTGAAAATTACTCTGGAATTTCCAGAGATGCTAAATCTAACCTGCCTACGGTACAGGACCAATCCCCCAAACTTTAAATCAGAGGTAAAGCATTTTACGTTTTAAAAGATATATTCCTCAAAGTTTATCATGGTGTATTAAAGTCAAATGTGAGTTATTACTTACCAAATCCAGAGCTGATGTCTCCCCTTGATTGCCCTAGGTAGGCAAGGATAAGTATCTTCCAACCAACATATTTTTTTTACCTTTTCATCTGCCTCTTGCTATTTACAATAGAGTAAAAAATAATAGCCAAGGAGTGACTTTGCTGGGGTGGACCAAGTGCAAATCCCACCTGACTGTGCTCTTAAATTGTATTCCAGGCGCCTAGCAAGTTTTGCTGCATGAAGAATGAATGGAGAAATGGCTTCTCCAAAGCTAGACAGATCCCAGAGGGATAATCACTGGCTATTCAGCTAATGAACCTTAGCATTTACCCCAGCTTAGAATCCTCTGCGTACATTATTGTTTGGGCCTAACAGTTACATCTTTCCACCCTTGCTGGGACTTTCTGCATGATAGACAGCTACTTCACAACCAGGATACCCGTGAAACTGCAAATGCAAGCAGAACATCTGTAACAAGTCTACAAGGCAGAAACATCCCTGTTGACTTCTCTAGTTTTATACAATGTAAACACAGTCATTATTAGTAATGTCATTCATTCTAAGAACTAGAGGAACTAGGGGAAGGAACTAGGGGAGTTGGGTTACCCTTAGAAAGTTGCCTTCCCTGAAGATGAAGCAGATGACTACCAAGGCCTCTAGATCCAAAGAGCGCCCTCTAAGTTCACAGTCCTAAATACCACCCCCTTCCAGTCTCTGATATTATTTAACTGCTAGTAAATTCCTGATCTAGAATATTTCCTTATTCGCTGAGAATGTTCTAATATAAGGTTTCCAGTTAACTAAGGAAAAGAGGGTAAGAAAGTTGTGGTCTATACACATACATGTCTTCAAATCCTGACACCTCACCACCATTTGCTAAGGAAGAAAACAGAACTGTTGCACAAACTTTCTTCAGCTTCCTCAGGTACAAAATACTGGATCACTGACAAGAATAAGCAGAAAATTAAACAAGGTTCACTTGACTTATGTTTCTCTTGGAAGCTTCTCCTTGGAAACACAGGACATCTAAAAAGTTGGTTTTCTAGCTACTCCTCAACTCAGGAATATTATCAACCCTAAACCTCCTAACCATTAGCAACAATTGCTTCTTTGGAAAAAAATTCCATGATGAAAATTGAAGAGTATACTATTAGGACTTGATATTTGAGAAAGAATTAATGCATACATGGTCATACAAAGTTTAAAAATCCATCATGTTAATAAATCTTCTGGCTCTTGGAGCATGCAATGTTTAGAGTGAATTGTATAAGAATAAAGACAGGGTCTCTCTGAGGTGCAGACAGTGAGGCAATAGCAGGTAAGGAGGCCTGTGTGGGACACACTGTAATCCCCTAACAAGAATAGGGCAAGATTAGAGAACCATCACTTTAAATATCCTGTGAGGCATAAGTACAAGATAGAAGTTGACTTAGGGGTACATTATGAATCTGTCATGTTTGGAAGTACTGTTTGTTTGTTTGGATGGATGAATGGATGGTTAGTTGGTTTTCTCATCATAAGATGGGAGTTACCAGCAAGCAATACATAGTGACAACCCAAGATTGACTCCCTGTTGTCATATATGGGCTTAGCAACATTCAGATAGTCTGTACAAGGATTACAAACATCTTCCTAGAGGCTCATGGGAAACATCAGTAACTGGGTAGTTTTTAGCCTCAGAGACTCAGAGACAATAGAACTCCAGTGGGTCTTGGAAATAAAGATACAAGGGTTACTCCCACAGTGTTAAGCACCTGAAGGTTTCCAGGTGAACAGCATTCTGAACTTTCTTAATGTTCATGGGTAAAGCGAGTGCCTTGATTTAAGTTTAAATGGCTTCCCCTTTTGTAAAAAAAAATCCAATTAAGATTTCCCTGAGGATTTTGGTATGTTTTCATATACATATATACATATGGTCCAAGTTAAGAAAACCATACATTAAATCTTCTGGTTTCATCCCAACACTTAGAACTTGAGACACTATGCTTAAGAAGCAAGACCACAAATTTCCTTAATTTTGCAATCTGACAAAGCCATGTTAGCAAGTCAAAAGGAACCAGGAAAAAGAGGCTCCCTAAAGCTTAAGTTTCACCAGCTTTAAGGTGAAGTCACTCCTTTTGGGGGATATAATAAAATAAGTTTCCCTGGAAACAGTTGATGGAATTCTCCATGCCAAAGCACAAGCAATTTTGCACCTAATCCAAAAGGCCCCAGCAGAAGATTTGCATATGCTAATTTTCCTTGGAGGAGATAGTTCTATCTTATGGAAGAAAGGCAGAAGCAAGCCTGGAGCATCACATCTTAAGGCAGTAGACTATCCTTTCAAGTCCCTTAGACAAAATACCTTGACAGAAGCAACTCGGGGGAGAAAGGGCTGTTCTACTCACCATGCCAGGTTACACAGCCCCTAATAGCAAACGCCTAAGAGAGTTGCTTACAGCACATCCATGGTCAGGAATGAACAGAAACCAATGCAAGCACGACAGCTCCCAGATCTCCCTTATTCCAGGGCCCAGGATATGAAACAACACTACCCACGGCAGGGTGGGTTTTCCCACACAGTCCCTCACAGCTATCCTGCAGGCCAGCTTCTTATAGACAATTTTCCAGGGAATTCTGGATTCTGTTAAGTTGAAAACTCCATCTAGCCATCATATCTAATGATGTGAGAGGTACGATATGCTAGGCTCCACTTCTGATTTCTCTTGGGACCCTCATGTAAAGGTGACACCAGGTGCAGTTACTCTGGTAGGGCTTATAACTAAAGTAGTCAGTGGTAGCTTGACTTCAGAATTCAGCTTTGCGTACACACTGTTTTGGTTTCTTCCATCTCATATGATTATCTAGTTAACCCTTAGGAATTAAATGCTACACGTATAAAGAACTAAAGACAACCTAAAGAGAGGTAAATACCTCTTTTTAAAAATGTATTCATATATGAACTAATTTGTAAGGGGAAACTTACAATCACCCTAAATAGAGCTAAAGAGTAACTCTTTAAGCAATGGTGGTTTTAGATTTCCTTAAATGTATTGGGCAGCACAGTTATTCCAAACAGACTCATTCTGAGGACACATTCTAAGGTCAAATGATAGAAT